AACAGAGCAGTCCCAAGGGCAATGGAAATGAAGTGAGAGGACAGTACAGACCTGTTTCACCAGTATGCAAATCATGTAATGGGACACAAATGATTTAGCAAGACCTGTGACTCAGCCCACATCTGACTCTGCTGGTTCAGACAAGAGGAGCCAGCTTGAGTTCAGCCAGACTTTTCTAAGGAGGTTTTGTTGGAATTCCACAGGACTCCAGTTTTGAAGCTAGGACCAGGAAGGAGAAGAGAACTCCATTTACGAGTGAGTTCTGCGTGCCAGGGACTTTCATGGCCATCATTGTGGGGTGGGGTAGGGGTGGAGTGGCAGACATATATATACCTTTCTATTGTAATCTTCATCATATCTACAATTAGCAGTTTTATTTTAGCAGTTGGAAGAAAAATCTGAGTACAAGAAAGGGACTTGATTCTTTTTTCGCGAAGGAACTTATTCATGTCTGTATCTTTCACAGAGTTTTGAAAAGAAGAGATGCTCACAACATGTTTTTTGGGTTTTTTTGAATGGACAAATCTCCTAATGTTATATATAAGAAAGCAGGAATTTAGAGGAGTAGAGTGACTTGACCAGAGTCATACAGCTGGTATGTTGCAGAGAAAAGATTTCAAATCCAGTTGCTCTGATTGCAAATCACTTTCTGCAGCGTCACACTGATGCTTAGGAAGTAGATTCTCCCAGCCCAGTGGGAGGAAGTGAAGATAGATAAGACAGGACCTCAGGGCTGCTGACTGTCATGAGAGGTCAGGGTGATTCAGACTTTCTGATTTTGTCCAGCTCTGCTCACCCCTTTCCCAACCACCGTTTGCAGGGTGCCTAGGACTTTACCGAAGCCCCTGCAGGAATTATGATTCTGGGTAAGTCTCTTTGTGTTTGGTCCAGGACAGGGACACAGCATCGTTGTGGTCAGGAGGTTTGACCTCCTCTCCTGCATAAGGGGTGCCTGCCCTTGTGTAGCCTCCTGACCCACGTGGTGTCCCCAGACTCAGGTTTCCAAGGGACCAGGGCGCTCCAGAAAGTACTCACTGATCCTGGTGAGGCCCAAGCCTCTGGCCTGTAGTGGCTCATGCAAACTGGGCTATGAACCAGCAAAATCCAATCCATTCAGCAGTTAAATTGGTGTGGGTTGGAGGGAGTTATCAGATCCTTTGATCAACCTCAAAGCCTGTTGCCGCCCGCTTACTTCACAAATCAGAAGTTGCCACTGGGTGGAAGGTCATTGTGCAATCTCTTTCTTTAGTAATTTACTTGTTTTGGTGAAATCAACCACAGTCATTGAGTAACTCTCATTTACCGAGGCAAAAGGTGACGTAGAGTGCCTTGAGTGCCCGTCCGAGGCCAGGCAGGGTCCTGTGTTGCCTCATTTGGTCCTGGCAACCCTGAGAGGGAGATACTGTTCTACCTGTTTCACAGATGAGGAGACTGAGGCTTAGAGAGGTGAAGTGACCACACATTTTGTAAGTGGTAGAGCCAGAACTGGAATCATTGCTATCTCACCCCAAAATTCACTTTTCTGCTGTGCTGTCTGCTGAAGCCCCAGCCGCAGACACCAAGATCAACCCCGAGATCTTGAGATGTCTCTCCGTAAATGTGTTAGTCACCGATGGAGATGGGGGAGCAAGCTTCCATCTGCCGACTGTAATTCCCTGTCCGACTGCTTCCCAAAGGGATTCCTTTCCCATGGCCCCTACTGCTTTCTCATTCACAGGCACTGTCTTCCTGAAGCTATTATGATGACGGGTCTCTTCCTCTCTCCTCAAGTTCCTCTCATGTATTTATATCTTTCTTTTCTTAAGCTCCAGCCTTAAGTATCTGAGTCAGTGGAGGGGGAGATGTGTACCTTGTCCGGTTGGGAAACCCACCCTTCCCCTGCCCCACCCTGATTTCCAAGGCGTCTGACCTAAAGTCTGCGTGGAGGGGGCAGGGGAAGAGTTGGAGGATTTTGAGTAAGCATTTTCCAAAGACGTACAGATTTTCCAGTTGAGGGAGATTAGAAAATCTCAGGGCTACGAGGTCGAAATTTAAAAAAATGGTTAGAGGATACAGTCATCTGTTGACTGAGCGGTGCACAGTGCCAGGCACCAGATCTACGTTTTCACCGATCTGTACTACAGCCTGTACGATAGTGGTTGTCACAGTGATTTTATATGTGAGAAAACCGAGGCTCACTGAGGTTTTTCTCATGAAAGCCTCTGTTCTCTGTTACCCACCCTGCCCCATCCAGACTTGCAGATGGGCTGGAGAGGCCAGACCATAGTGGGCAGAGTACAAATGGACTATTCCTTGTTCCCTGAACTTGCTGTTGTCCTAAAGACTTGAGTTGAGTTGGAGCTACACCAGCATCATCTCCATCCCCATCCCCAAAAGGAAGAGTCTTTTGATTCATAATCGCAGAATCCACTGTTGGGTCATTTCAGCAGAAATGAGGGAGTAGCCTTTGACCTGCAGATTATTTTTTATGGTACTGAGTGCCTTGCTTAAAATCATTTAATTTTTCATCATTACCTACAGTAACATTTCCCAGTTGGGACTCAGTAGGTAGATGTTCTGTAAGAATAATGGTGAGTAGGGGCCATCCCGGTGGGGTAGTGATTAAGTTCGCACACTCTGCTTCGGCAGCCCGGGGTTCGTGGGTTCGGATCCCAGGCGTGGACCTATACACCACTCATCAAGCCATGCTGTGGTGGCATCCCACATACAAAATAGAGGAAGACTGGCACAGATGTTAGCTCAGTGACAGTCTTCCTCAAGCAAAAAGGAGGATTGGCAACAGATGTTATTAGCTCAGGGCTAATCTCCCTCACCAAAAAAAAAAACCAATAATGCTAAGTATTGTAAATGATGAAAATAAGGATTTTGCGTAGACCATTTACCAATTTTTTTTTTAAAGACCCTTAGTATTCCATGGAGAACAGTTTGGGAAAGACTGGCCTGCTAAATAAAGGCCAAGTTCCTTGGTTTGATATCCAGTGCCCTTCATGAACTGCCCCCTCATGCCTCTGTAGCCCTGTTTCTCATCACCCCCTCCCCCCTGCACAGATACTCCCCTTCAGCTGTTCTGGACCACGTGAAGTTCTCTGGAACTCTGCCGGCTTCTAAGCCATCACTCTGCCTGGAACACACACCCCTCACTACTATCTCCTTATGTCCAGCAAACACCTATTCATCTTTGGGATTCGAGTTGAGTATCCCTTCCCCTTGACCCTGGCCCTCCAACTTCTTTCATAGTTCCTGTAATACCCATAAGTACACTTACTTGTTTTCATGTATCCCCCGAACTGTATGCTCCAGAGGGCAGGAATTACAACTTCTCATTTCTGTGTCCTTAGCACCTGTCATAGTGCCTGGCTTATTTGTTTGTTTGTTTGTTTATTATTTTATTACTTTTTCCTCCCTGATTCCACAGGATTGGCCTTTTAGGTTATCCTTAGAATAATTTTTTCAAGTTTTTTCTCCACATCTTTTTAGGATATCCATGGGAATCTGATTGAATTTATATATCAATTTATGAGTTTATAAGTTGGGTATTCTTATAAGTAAAAAATCTAGCTCTCTCTCTATTCCAGTTGCCCGTTATGTCCCTTACTTCATAAAGGTCCATGCAGTTCTTCATAAGTTAATTACTATTTATTTAGTCATCTTTGCTATTACGATGATTTTACCTCTTTTAGATTTTTAACTGGTTACTTTTTGTATATGAAAAACCATTGATTTCTATCATTTGTTTAGCAGCCAACAACATCAATGCATCTCTTTATTTTTTTTTCATTTGTTATTCTTAGATTTCCCAATAATACATTCCTATAATTCATAATGATTATAACATTGCCTGCTGTTTTCCAAGCCTGGGTTTTTGAAATAGTTTTCCCAGTACTTGAGGATTTAGTGCTAGTCACTTCCCACACGAGCGGGAGTGACTCCGGAATCTTGCACTCTTCTGTCTCCTCAGGACCAGCCACTGGCTTGCTCTCTGCTGACCACCAAAAGGAAGGTGTCCATTTGTCTCAGGAAGGGCAGTCGGGCCTTTGCCACTGTCCCAGGTCTATCTTTAGCCGCCGGCCTCTCCCCTCGCTCTCTTCCTCTCTCTCCTGGCCTCTCCGAGTGCTTCGCTTTGATTTGTAGTCGGAAGTTCCCCTGGTCCTGTCGCCTCTTCCCCCTCATTTCCCAGGTTCCCACAGGAACCTGGGAAGTAGGTTGTGCCCAGAGGTTAGAACGGAAACTGCAGCAAGATAACTCCGAGGGACAATGCCCAGTTGACGTCATTTCAACTTCTTTGCTTCAGCCAGAGGTGGTTTTTTTTCTTCCATTTTTCTTCAGGTTACTCTTCTGCCCCACCCAGTCGTGTCTGTCAACCTCATTTGAAAGCTTTCTGGCATCGTCTGTTTGGTTTACGTGTTTCCTTATTTTCTAGTTAAAATCCATAGTTCTAAGTAGTGACTTAGAGACTCGTCCTCTGACCGACCTGCTTTCTTTGCCACAGGCGCGGCCCCTTATGACTGTCGTGGTTACCTCCCTTATCATCCTGTATTCTGTTTCCTTGGCAATCCTGAGAGGCAGGTAGTGTAGGGACGGCATAGCTGTAATCTCCAGGAAAACACATCAGCTGTAAAAAAGAAACTTTTACTAACCCTGGTTACTGTTCTTTAATTCGTGTCAGCTGAGAGGAAGATAAAAGGGAGCTAGCATTTAGGAAGTGTCTGCTTTGTGCCAGGCAGTGTGCTCAGGCCATTCTCGTGTATTATCTTGCTCAGCCCTCTCGAGCTTATCTCCCTAGAAAAACTCCATTTTTCTTATTTTTAATATAGGAACCAAGGCTCAAGGTTTAAATAACTGGTTTGAGGTTGTGTCCAAGTTGGATGTTCTTTCTACAACATGCCACTCAAGGTCCAGATGGTTCCATCTAGCGGAAATGCAGTGTGTGTTGACCTGGTGTTCTAATGCAGGTGAACAGCGAGTCGCTTAGTGTCTGTTCATTTTGTCTCCTCCCCCAGCTGTACCTGCAGGCCCGCTTCACCTGGCGAGGTGCCCGCCTGCTCCGGCCCCTCCTGCAGTTCACCCTGATCATGATGGCCTTCTACACAGGACTGTCCCGCGTGTCTGACCATAAGCACCATCCCAGCGACGTCCTGGCAGGATTTGCTCAAGGCGCCCTGGTGGCCTGCTGCATAGTAAGTAGCATCCTGTCCTCAGTATGCAAGCCAGAGCCCTGATCTGCTCGCTTGTTAAATGTTTCCAGCTCAGTGACCAAAGCCAGGGAGCTCTCAGTCCTCGTCTCTGCTTGGTGTCTGGAGAGTCACCCGCCCCAGGACCCCTCCAGTAAATGAGAATAATTCCTGCTTCTTTCCAGCCTGTGAGTTTTAATCCAGCAGGGCCTGTAAATCCTCTTCTCCATAAACATGGCAGGTTTGGGCTCGTGAAGAATGTTGCGGTTGGAAGAGGTCTTAGTGCTTGTCCAACTTGCTCACTTTATCGATGAGGACGTTTAGGGTTGAAGAGGGGAGGAACCTTGCCCCAGTCACATGTCAAGTTACTAGCAGAGTCGAAGTCCCTGACTCATGAGTGCTCATGTGCTGCTCTGGTGGACAGTTACTGTTCACTTGAACTTCTCAGCTTCCAGGAACACTTCTACCTTTCTCACTGTGACCTTTAGGGTGACTTGGGGATCTGGTGAAAGCTAAGCCCTCCCCCAGCCTGAGGGCCTTGGACATAAATCACAGAGCTCCCTAGAGAATGGCCTTGGGATGAGCCACATTCTGATTTGCCCCAAATGAATGGGGTGTCCTTTTCACATATTTCATCCCTGAGCCACAGTGAGGGTGGGATAAGGCATTCCACCTTTCTGAGCCTCTGTCTCCTCAGGAATCTCTGCTTTTCCTGCCTGCTGAAAGTTTTGAGGGGCTTATTCAGCACACATAACTGAGCCCCTCCTCTGACGTTGTGCCTGCCTGGGCCCTACTCAGGGGGGCTCACCGCGGTCCAGCAGTACTCCCAGAACACAGCGGTGGTTGGGTGTTGAAGCACCACACGTGTAGATTGTATTGTTGTTCGCATAATCCTGTTCATTCACAGTAAGAATCATGAACGATAGAGAGATCTGGACCAGCCCTTGGTCCTTCCCGCATTTCTAAGCCTGCTGCAGCCCGTGTCTCCCACAGTAGCCTCTCCCACTTCTCTCTGATAACAATCTCAATGTTCATGTGTGTCTCTCTTTAGACTGTAGGTTCCTGGGGGCAGGGACCGTATGTAACGTACTTGTTGTTCCCGTCTCACCGCAGCCTCTCAGGGGTCCTAGCTCAGAGTGAGTAAATGCATGCTTCATCAACAAAAAGCTAGGATCAAGGAGCTGATCTTCCCTTTCTTCAAAACACCGTAAGGAACATTCTCTTGAAGGCAGAAGTGTGAATAAGGCACAGCCTTGCTTTCCAGGAAATCCCAGTCTAGTTGTTCCCAGGCCATGCACAGGAGTTACAGTATGTGGGGAGACAGGAACAGGGTGCTTCAGGAGCAGTGAGAGCCTGACTCAGTGCGCAGTGGGCAAGAAGAGGGACTGGGAATTGGCGTGACCAGAGTGGGCACCACGAAAAAAGGAGCATCTGGGCTGCTTGCCAGCCTCGGCATGGGAATCCTAGCCCAAGGGACTGTGGTTTTGATAGCTTTATTCATTAATTTTTTTTCTTTCTTTTTTTTTTTTTTTTTTAGTCAGGGCCAGAAGGGAGAGAAATTGGGGGAACGAGTCGTTAATGAGAGCAGCTGTCTCTGACCAGCTTGTTCCCTGATGCCTGGTCCTTTATGTGCAGTGACAGCGGGGGATGGGTGTTTGCACTAAAGGGTAGCCCTTTGCTGACCATGTCCTTCTGAGCTTTGCTCTCAGCAGGAGGCCGGCCCCCGGGGCCTGCTGTTGTGTTTCTTCTCAGCACCACTGCTCTAATTAGAGTCTCCTGCACCCCCGGTTAAAAAAAAGTCAAAAATGGGGAGATCCTTCATAGCCTTGCTCTTGTATATCCTAAAGCTCTGGCTGTGCGCAATCAGACAACGTGTCCGGTAGGACCAGGGTGTATTTTCAAGGAGGGAGATGAGGGGTCTGACTTGTATCTTGTTTGGCTCTGGCCAACCGTAGCACAGGATAGGAATCTGGTCCTGGCGTCGTAAAGCGCCTGCTTTGTGCTGGCACTGGTCTAGAACCTTTGCCCATTGGCTCCTTTTAGGCACATGAAGCCATTTTACAGGTGAGGTAACTGAGGCTCAGAGATGACTCAAGTCATCCAAGGTCAGAGCTAGTTGGCAGCTGCTCCTAGGAGGCTCACTGACTCCAAAGCTTTGCCCTCTGCACTTCGCAAGGGAGAAGGATGGAGGGTCAGGGGCTGCAGGCCAGCCAGAGTTAACCTGAGGCATAAGCAGCACAGACAGCTGCCTAAGGAGCATAATTTAAGGGTGTCACCGGCCCCTCCCCAAGCCTTTGGGCTGATCTGGTCATTGCTTTGAGTTTGAAAGCCTGTCCTACAGTGTAAAAGTGGTCTGGGAAGAGGGGATGAATATCTTCTCCCATCTTTTGCCCACTTAGCTGTGAACACATAAGGGAAGGGACCCGATCCTGTTTATCATTTTTCTCCAAATGCCTCACACCCAGCCTGGTACTCGGTAGGAGCTCATGGTCCTGCCTGGCTTGGAGAGTCACAGCACTGATGATCTACTGCATTTAAGCCTTCTGGGAGGCCAGGAGAAGCTGTAGCTCGTCAGCACGAGAGCTTGCGAATGCTCAGCTGGGGGAGAAGATGGGCCATTCCCCATCTTAAGATCTGTCATCCAGGTTTGGAGTGTGAGGAAGACAGAAGATGGCCATCTGAGAACACCACGTGCCCCGGGGGTTGGGGAACTGTGGGGGGGATGACGGCATCTGCCTCACAGGTTTGCAGCTTTATCAGGTGCTTTCCTGGAGCTGCGCGGTGGAGCCCTCGCAGCCTCAGCAGGAGCCTCTGCTCTCTGCTCTGCTTGTGTCTCATAGCAGAACTTTCCCCCGAGAATCAGGGCTTCTGTCCCAGTGAATCCCAGGAGAGTCTCTTCTCACCCGTGAATGTAGCTGTAGTGATTTGTTCTTGAAACACAGAGGCAGAGGTTAGGAGGAACCTGAGGTTAGGAGGACCAAAAAGAGGCAGCACTGTATGGTTTAAGACCATTGCAGGGGGTGCCAAGATACCCAGAATCCTGATCGCCTCCTCAGCCAAGCGTCTATGGACTCCCCATTAACTTAACAGGGAAATAATACTTGCTACCGTCTATGGAGAGCTCAGTGTGCCAGCCACTGTGTTAAGTACCTTACACAGATCATCTTCAGTCCCCCGAAAATCCTATGTTGAATCTCATATCCATTACTGTCCTCACTGAAGAGATGAGAGAACAGGGACTGAGAAGGATTAACTCACATGGAGAGAAGGTAGAGAAGCTAGAGTTGAGCCTGGTTGGTCTGACACAGAGCCAGCGCTGCGAGACCCAGGCTTCTTTTAGGGGCCTCAGCTGCTCCTCTCCACACGCCCTCACCTCCTGGCACACAAACTTCTCAGTGTTTTCTGACACCCTGAGCTCTTGTCTTAGACGCTGTCCCCCTTCGATGGAGTGCAGTTCCAGTGTCACCCCATCTGTGATGAAATCTTCTGTGTTAGTTTCCCGTGTTGCTGCTGTAACAGATTACCACAAACTTAGTGACTTAAAACAACACACACTTATTTTCTTATGGTTCTTGAGTTTGGAATTCCAAAATGGGTCTCACTGGGCTAAAATCAAGGTGTTGACAGAGCTACGTTCCTTCCAGAGGCTCTAGGGAGAATCCGTTTCCTTGACTTTTCCAGCTTCCAGAGGCTGTCTTCAAAACCAGCAGCAGAGCATCTTCAGATCTCTCTTCTTTCTTTCACTCTAGCTGGCCTCTGCTTCACATGTCTGTCTGTGACTCTGACCCTTCTGCTTCCTCTTATGAGGATTCTTGTGATTACATTGGGCCCACCTAGATAATCCGGGATCATCTCCCCATCTCCAGATCTTTAACTTAATCGTGCGCACAAAGTCCATTTTGCCATTCGCAGGTTCTGGGGGTTGGGACGTGGACATCTTTGGGGGGCCGTTGTTTGGTCTACCCCACCTTCCCTTCTGTCTTCCCTGAAGACAGAATGGTCTAACTTTCTCCTAGTGTGCCATGGCCCTTTGCATGCTCTTCCTTCTGTGGCATTCGGCCTGGTTCTGTCAAAATTGCCTGCTCATACGTCTATCTCCCCAGCTAGACTGTGGGTGCCTTAATAGCAGAATCGTGGGTTGACCTTCTGGTTGTTCTTCCTCAGTGCCTAGTATAGTGGCTGACACACAATAGGTGCTTAATAAGCATTAGCGAATGAGTAATGAATTAGCTTGTGACCTTGGGCAAGACACTTCCCCTCTGAGCCTCGCTTCCTCGTCTGTGAATGGGTCTTGGAGGGCCCATGACCTTCTCCCACAGAGATGTTGCGGCAAGGCTGACCTTGTAGGAACTGAGCTGGACCAGACAGATGGAACTGTCTCCCTGCAGCACCCCTGAAGGTGGCCTTTATTTGGGGGTCATGACACATATTTAAGCCCCCAGTGGGTCAGTGCATCCCCCTGGAATATTGGCTCAGTCCCTACAGAGCTGTGGGCATCAGGCCACGACAGCCCAGCACTTTTACCCTGGTCTGTGGAGAGTAAGTCCTGTCACAGCCAGCAGACGAGTCTAGACGAAAATCACGTGCCAAACAGGAGCGGGTTCGGTTTTTTCCCCGACTGCTCACTGTTGAGCCCTTTCCAGAGAGGGAAGACAATGGCACCCAACACAACAGAAAACCTACATGCATCGTGGACTGAACATGGGGACCCGGGCATGTAGGCTCTGACAGACCTGCACACTGATGTACACCTTCACACAGGTGGACAGAGGCACACAGGACAAAGGTAGAGAGCCAGTGCCCAGAGAGACCCAGAGGCATAGGGACAAACCCAGTTGTACACAGGCACACGATGTCTGTCCTCTCTCTCTCCAGCACTCAGAACCACAGACACACACACAGGCCAGTGCAAACACAGGCACATACTGACCCTTAGGGTCGCCCTGTTGCACTTGCACGCGGGCACACACACATGCAGTCACCCCACCAAGATGTGAACTCTACAG